ACGGTTCCCGCTGCCGGCGGCCCGATCGATGCCGCCCCAAAGTCACTTTGAGAGCGGCCGGAGAGCCGGCTCCCGCGCTCGCCTTTCGGCCGCTGGCGCGAGCGGCAACTTCCTCTCGGTTCCCGTCTGCTTTGGGAAGGGAGGGGGAAAAAAATCACAATTCAACCCAAACGGGTTAAAAATATAAAGCGAAGGGGGTCCACGGCTGGCCAGGTCGGCTCTGGTTGGATCACCAAATTATTGATGGATTTTCCCGCAGGGCAAAATCTGCAGCCTTAACCCGATATCTGTTTGAAGGCACCCATGGGCTCCTTACCTTAAATTTTGGCCAGTTGGTGGCAAACAGGTCCACCACCAAGAAGGAACAGGGCTCGCCTGCTTTAGACTTTGCATAGCCTGTTAAAGCTGCTAAAACCTCCACCGAAAAAACCAGCCAGCATCTGACGCAGGCTTGTCACGCCTGCGCTTGGCCTCCGTACCCCACGGTCTCTGCAGCTACGTGGGACCTAACTCGTTTTAGGAGCAAACGCCCGGGCGAGGGGGCTATTCTGCAGAATTGAGGACGCCGATGTGGGAAAAGCCCGCGGGAGAAATGGCAAAACACGGCCAAGTGAGCAAAAAGAGAGCTACTCGCAGAGACTCCCGGCAGGGACGCGGCTGAGCTGCGAGGGAGGAAGGCGGCCAGAAACAGAGCACGCTTGCTTTTTCCCATTTTCCTCCCAGAAAAAAAAAAAAACAGCACTCCTCAGCAAGCACTCTAGAAACAACGTGGTACTGCGTAATAGATGAAGTGCCATGAACGCCCCCCCAAAACTTCACCGCGGATGAGGATTTTAGGTCGGGGTTCCCGCACACCGCGATGATGGGCGGAGGTTTACACAACCCTCCAGCTGGGGCTGTATTGAGAAGGGCAATTTTTTTTTTTGCAACCCATCTTGGCCAGCAACGGCTCAGTCCGGCAGCAAAAATAATCCATTTTCTGATATAAACCCACTTTTCTCCCCAGGGGAAATTACCTGCAAAAAGGAGCAGGCTGCTCCAGCGCGCAGTGCCCAGAGCCTTCCTCCCCGGCAAAACCCCTCGTCCCCACGAGACGCGTCCGCATCCCTCATCCACACTCGGAGGTGAGCAGCCCTGATTGATTACGGCCGGCCTGAGTCACAGCTTGGGATTTTTGCTCTTTTTTTTCTTTTTTTAACCTAGAAGGGGCTTTTCCCCTGCAAGAAGTCGCGTACAAGCACAAGCATGACATGGACCAGAACTGCTGGAAAATACGACTGGAAGCACCTGAGAAATCTGGGAGAAGCGAGAAGGAACAGCAAAAACTGCTGGAAATTAAAGCACGCTGCCTCTGCCACCCTTATAGTCCACAAAAGCATCCTCAAAGCACCCGGAGAGGCACCAAATAAATAAAATAAGGGCGAGGGGAAAAAGCCATTTCCTCCAAGGAACCAACACGTTATCTGCTAGCGCAACGCAACCGTCGGCGGCGCGGCTTTCTGCATCCATGTCTCCAAGGCGAGTTTTAGGGTCAATAAGAGAACTTACCTCTCGCTGCCCAGAAACGCTCAGAAATCGGGGGCCGGGGCGGCGCGAAGCG